AAGCAACTGTGAAACCGGCGAGCGAGCGAATGGATTTGTTCTAAAAGGAGGGTGCGACCGTCGGCGCCTTCGGATAAATAGACACGACCAGCGCGGGATGAGCTACATTCATTTCATGCGAAGCGAATCCTGTTTGCCTGTTGTACCATCATTGGACAAATGATCCCGATGGTCAGAATTCGAGCTTAATCAGACGTGAACGTTTCCGTCCGGTACCATTTATCGGAATCGGCCCCGGGATACGAGGAAGAAAGGATGATTTGTTGAGAGTTTCTTGCAGAAGCCTTCTCGCTAATAATGAGAATAATGTGCATTCTATAATCAGATAATCAGAAACCATGACCGAATGTTTTTCACTCGGCACCGGGGTTCTAGGGGAGCAGGACAAATCGATGAACACTCGAGGAGCCATGCCGACGGCGCAGTACTCGAAACTGATCGATACAGTTCGCTGTTCGTCGCAACCAGACACGGAGCTTATTGCAGTCTTCAAGGGGTTTAAGTCATCGCTTTCCCTGCAGAGTGTCTTGCTCGAGTACCTAGCCTCCCCTTTTCGGCAATACAAACCCTACACGCTAGCTTTTACGTGCGAGTCGAACGCCCATTGATGAGTATGGTCTTCGCGAGTATTCGGAGCAAAGTTCCACAAAATCTGATCGAATTCCGTTCTTCAATGTGTTCGGAAATTCCGGATCGGCTCCATCTAGGCCTGTATTTCCATTCGAGCTCGCACTTGAGATTTCAGCTCTCCTGATCGATCTACGTCTCATTCGGATCAAATCAGAGATTCGCGCGAGATCCGCACGATGCGAAGAGTTTGTACCGCCGACAGCCGCTATGATCGAAGCGCGTAGCAAGTTGTTGTCCGCTCCATTCTCGTTGGGGTGCTGAAGCGAGCGACTTATATTTTCGCCTATTAACGTCCTCACGATCGTATCACCGACAGCATCATGAACGAGGATGATGATGATGACGACGCCACAGACGATGAGCGGACAAGAAACAGAAAGAATTCCTCTGAGCGTGCTGTGATAGCGCCCCCACTGCGGCAATGGGTGCTATTGCCTGGACGACGGCCTGCTAACTCGCCTGCTCGTCCGTGTGAACGCCCGCCAGCAGAAATCCCGTTTCGGCCGTTGAAAACATCGTCTTTTCCGAGAAACTCGAAGACCGATGGAAACGCACAGACGAAACTAGACGATGCGACAAACTTCTCGTGTGCATTCTCCCGCCTCGGAAGCAAGGGGGAAAAGAATGTCCAGCTTTCAATCTTTCAGCAAGGCGTAAATTGGTCAAACATTGGCCGCGTCCAATTACAAGCTTCTCACCTCATCGGCCTCGAAGGAATTCTTCGGACCCCTGGAGGCCCCCTGCCGAAGATAGGCGAACGAGCGAGCGGGCAAGCGGCCGCCGTCCGTTCATGCGTCCGGCGGCGACGGCTGCAGAGGATTGGTTTGGTTCCTCACGAAGCCTGTCAAAATAAACACCTCGGCCAAACTTGCTAAGCTGATTGGACCGAGGTAGAAACAGAACCCCTGGCCCTAACGCAAAATATTACACCTCGAGCAGCGAGTGTTACCCTCATGCCGAGATGTCATCGCTATTACGGTCGAAAGCGAAAACTCATCCCAGAAGTTCGCTGTCTATACACCTCCGACATGATTTCGATGTTGGGGAGAAAAATGGTGATACAAACTCCATGAGAACCATTTCAATTCTCGTACCGAGATGCGGTCCGTAGGTACACGGTCCGAGCAGTCTAAATTCGATCAGCTCGGCGCGGTCATGCTGGCAGCCGAGCGATAGCAGCAGAGGAAGTCAATGAGCTCGCTAATAATAATCAGAAGCGTTGAGACACTGCGGAACGGGGTTCCTAGTCACTCTGCCGTCAAGTGCTCCGAAGCACTGAATCTGCAGTTGTTGGCTGAATACGATTGGAATTAAAACTACGCCGGCGGCTCCGCTATCGTTCGCTCGCTCCCTCGCTCCCTCGCTCCGACAGATGAGCGCCGCAATCGACTTCGTCTCTAAACTCAAAATGTTTGAGCTTATCATTTTTTTCTTCGAGAGGTTCCCTCCACTTCAGTTGACAACTGGCTCCGTAACTGCAGCATGCTCTCATCCTCTTGGCGTCTCATGTCAGCTCTGGTCCTCGGGGCAAACTCTCAGAAAAGTCGAGTGGATCGAAAGGAAAAAATTGAGCATCTCGAAAACGAAGGAGCGTTCCATCGAGCCGCGGACGGTCTCACCGTCGCTGTGGGTGTGCGCGGCGGAACTGCTCCGGCTCCGAATTTCGGATCGACGACGACGTGCTAACATTACCAAACGGAATCGGGCCGCGACAACACTGTTGATCCGAACGTTCGTTCGAGTTCGCGAAGTGTACAATTTCCCGGGAGAGTTCGTTGATGGGTCAAGCTCTTTCACACGGATCATTCCCTTGAGAAATTCGATGTCGCGTACCGATGAGGATTTTCCGCTCTCCGAACGAGAAATTCCCGAGGCTTTCGAGGACTAGAGTGCCTGTATGGAATTCTCGACTACGACATTATGAATTCTCCTCATTCGAGAGGTGTTGGGAGCGAGACTGAAGTTTGAATCGATCCGCAGCTTCCTGTTTCTTCCGGCTCAGCCCATTAGGGGCATTACCGACAAACCTCGGCGGACGAATCGCAAACACGAAATGAGGAGAGTGAACGAGATCCGGGGGAGCAAGCTTTGCTGTCGTTGCTTGCACAGGGGCCGCCGCCGATAGGAACGGTAGGGGTGGCGGTGGTGCTGATGGTGGGTTGTCTGTTTCGTTGTGTACACAATTCTTATTAGTGAATTTAAAATGATATTTGCATTAGAGACTCGAGCGCGGGGAGAACTCGATCTCGTTCATCGAGATCCTGTTGCGATCCTGCCTATCAGAGCGACGCAGCAGCTAGCCTCCAGGCCAAGCAACTTCGGCAGCGGAGGGAGACTCCTGTGGAGAACGCTCACCTCATGCTTTCTTCCTCTCGCTCGCTCGCATTCTCGAGTAATGCGACCCATCTGCTGGACGACCATGGATTGGATTGTGCAATGGTTACCATTGTTTCTACCTGACTGACTCTTCCTAAGAGAATACGGGGGTGTACATGGCTCACTAGCTGCTGGCTGGCTGATGGGGCTTGGCAACGGGGAGAAGTGGGAGCCGGGGAATTCTCGCCGCGCCACCAATCCATCCATTCATTCATCCGTCCATCCATCCATCCATCCATCCAGCCATCCACCAAGGTTGTCGGTGTCCCGTCCACCCGTCATCGTCGGTCGCTCGCTGGCTCTTCCTAGCAACCATGGACACCGATGCTTGAGTGGCAGCTGCGCGTGGCGCTGCCGGAGCGGCGACAAATAGCTCTGACAGGTAGCTCTCGGAGCTCATTATGAGCGGAGGTGTGAACCATTCCCTTCCGAGCGGTATTATGCGCCTCGCAAATATGAAAAGATGCTCGGAGAGCCATCGCGAGCGACCAATGACAGAAAAGCCGGATTATGGCAACAGTGATGAATAAGCTATAGGGGGAACCTTAGGAGTCGAACGGCCCCAATAGCCGATCAGACCCCGGGATGGGGCAAGAGTGTCAGGAAACATGGCTGGACATACTTGGAGTCCAGGTCGTACATATCCACGAGTTCATAGATTGATTCCGATGGTATCGCTGAGCTCGCTCCAGATCCGACGCGAACGAGAATTTATGGCTCGTCGAAGATGTACATATATGCACCGGGACGGTCAGTCGGGTGACGCCGGAACCCCGGGAGAAAATGAGAACGTCGTTGAAAATTCTTTGAAGTAGCAGCAGCACGAACGAATTCGACCACTTCGGACTCCATCTCGGGACGGATGAGCTTCATATGCACACTGTCCGGTTCTGCTTCTCCCGCTCTCCCTCTAAGCCCCTGCGGCTCGTCTCTCAGAGTCCACCTGCCCCTCTCTGCCCGTCTTGCTCGTGGTCCCTCTTCGTTATTCCGTGAAGGCTCCTTATTAGTAGTTAGAGATAGGATTCCCCGCGGCCCGTCGTCGACGAATAGCGACTCTAAACGTATTAGCTTATCTCTGCATCGACACGATCCAGTCTCCGGTGCCTATGGAGAGAAAGACTCTCAATCAGACTTCCAGCTGAGTCGATTTCTAGGAGAGACTCCTCCAAAAAATGAAATCCTGGCGGAACCCGTGAGCAATATGCAAGGCTCACCACACCGCGGCTCTTTTTTCTAACGTTTGCGATTCGAATTGCAGGGAAAAATGGGCGTCATCGCTTCCGGCCCCGCTGGGGGTTCCCCACTGGCGGGATATCTTTCCATGTATCCTCCCGAGAGTTTTTCGCAACCTCCGCCTGCTCACATGGGCATTTCTGGCAACGCCCACATCGAAAACAAATCTGGTGAGTTTGTTTTCCAATTATGCTTGCTCCTCTTTCCTCACAACATAGGCTTTCCGGAGACGTACGCTGCATCCGTTTGGAGACGTGATGGACAGAGCAAGAAAAATCATTCCGCTCCGCGCTTCATATTGAGATGGGAGTAGATTCGGTCTAGCGGCGCTGTGTTCCGTTGTCTATGAGTGAGTGAGTGAGTGTTTCAGCGTGTGTGTGTGTGTGAACGCAACGGGCCAATTCGGAATGAAAGCCGCGCCGGTCCATATATTCAGATATATATATATATATATAAAGATAAAAACGAGAAGGGAAACGTGGAAGTAGTTAATATCTGAGCGAATCTGGAGCAAAGTGAATGCATTACGGAGTTATCAGCACGGGGCTAGAATTCACACCTGATACTTGAATTCCATTGCTCCGGCTCACCCTGTAGTTGCTTCGGATTTTCTTTATACATCCACCTGATTTCGCTAATCCTGCTGCTGAGGGAGTTCCTTACGAAAGACCTGAAACAAGCTCGTGCGCTGGAGAGATGCTCCGACATCACTGAGCGACGCTTGGCTGAGATGGCGATTTTCAGAAGTTCAGGGATTCAACTTATTGTTATTTTTTTTGCTATGCACACATTTATTGTCGATATCGGCGACAACACATTGCACTGTATATACAAAGACGGGACTATATTCATCATCACCATCATCATCGTGATCAGTTAGTCTATTTACACGCCGCCCAGATAGACGGGCGGCTTCTTTGGAAGTATCTACAGAAGACGCGCTCAGCGCAAGCGTACACGAAGCGGACCAGCTGATAGGTGGACGACGTGGAATACGACAACGCGAAGTTAAAACTCTGACACTTCCTTATCTTCAAGCCTTTGCGGCGGAGGCGGCAGCCGAAGCCTTCTTGTGCCATCCCTTGGATTCCAGGACGATAGGGACGGGTTTCTTGATAACAACGGGATGCTCCTTAACGACGGGCACCTCGACAGGGATGTGCTTGGTGACTGGCACGGGGACGTGCTTGTGAATGTGGACGGGGTAGGGTCTGGGTACCTTGACTTCGACGGGAACGGGCACTGGCTTATGCACGATGTAGGGCTTCGGTACGTGCACAATGTAGGGCTTGGGGATCTTCACAATGTGAGGAACGGGGTAGGGCTTCTTGACGGGCACCTTCACGGGCACCGGAACTTCCTTGGGGATGTGCACAACTTTGTGAACGGGATAGTACTGATGCACGATGTGTGGAACAGGCACTGGTTTGGGCACAGGCACGGACTTATACACGGGCACCTTCTTGGGCACGTGAATGATGTGGGGTACGGGCACGGGGTGCGGCACGGGGTATGGCTTGTGCACCTTCTTCACAACGACGGTCAACTTTGGCTCGTACCAACCGTGGTGGTGGTGATGCCATCCGTGACCACCAGCCTCAACGTATCCAATAGAGCACAGGGCTATCGCGCCCAACACACTCACAAAGCGTAACATGCTTTGGCCGATGCTTGCGCTTCTGCTTCCTTCTACTGCTCCGGTGCAGTCAGCTCGAGTCCAGATAAATGATTACGGCGCTCGCTCCCGCCTGCCTGTTTCCGAGGCGAATAGCGGACAATACAGCAGCAACGATCGAATGCTGCTCGGGGCTTGCGCCGGGGCTTATATAGCGAGCAAGCCGAGCAGCGAAAGGGAGAAAAGAAGTGCCGTTATATAATTGCTATCCGCGACACAGCCCGCAAGCCGGCCGCCCGCCGGACCGACCGACCGACCGGCCCTTCCCTGGCACCGCACTACTACTGCTGCTCCCGCCGCTTCTGCAGCAGCACAAGTCGCCGTCGCCGCCGCCGCCGCGTTTGCCGGTGCTTCTATAGAGCAACAAGCGAAAGTAGCTGCTCCGGTGCCGTTTGGGCGCCGTTGCAGAAGCGCTGGTAAACAAAACATACAACTTTGAAATCGGGTGTCCGTCGAAGACATCGACTAGAAGGTTCGTCGCTACCGCTCGCTGGCTACCGATGGACACTTGCCCCAGTAATTGGGCTTCGGGCGATGAAGCCCTGCGTTACGCGTGCGTACGGTCGACAGTTGACGTTCGCGATTACTTGCTACGCATTCTATCAATTTTGACGCCGCGCCGTAGTATGGAAAGTCCCTTTTGAATCATTCTTGAGCTACGGAAGATGCGTCCGCTTGCGTCCTCGCGGTTGCAAATGATGCTCATGCGGATTAGATTTTGACATCGGTAACATCGACTGTCGACTGCCGATTCGCTCTCTGACTCATGAACGTGCCTTAGATGATTTCGTTCATTCAGGTAGGAGGACGTAACGCATTCCATGAACTTCGATGTAGTCCGGTTTGGGATCGAGGATCTTCGACGAGCGCCGGTTGAGTCAGTGCAGCATTCGGCGTGAAGAAAACGTTGCACCTGTTTCGTCGTCACTGATGTGATCATTAGTGTCTTACGGGAAATGCCTGTTTCCAACGTCCGGTATGATGTTTCCGACTCGTTGCCATCACTGATGGAAGTTTCATTCGCTCAGAAATCTTCCGTAGAATGATTTGTTGAACGCTTGCTAACAGTATTTTCCCGTTACGGGGAGCGGTCCTGCCGATGACGTGAACTTTTTTCAACGGTCATGGGCGGTTATCGAAGGCGCGCTTCCGAGAGGAGCACTCGACGAAGACCGCAGCGAATTGCTGGCTCTTGAGATCAGAGACTCGCGGAGTGCAGCGGGACTCTAAATGGGCGACGTCATTGGAGACGTCGAATACATGTCGGGATGAAAAGGGTCTCTCGGATCAGCCCCACAGGCATCGTCGACTCGCTCGAACTTAAATACAGTCTTCCCGCCGATTTTCGGATTCGGCAGTCGGAGGGAAATCCATAGTTTTTTCGCCAGAGTTGGGAGATGGGGAGCATGGTACCCCATTCCAGAAATTCCTTCGGATTTCCCAGATCGATCCGGATTTGCCTCGGGGGTTGAGAATGACGAAAATTCCTCGTGGAATCATCGGCATCAGCCATAAGGCCCACGATAGTTACTCTTCGTCCCTCCTCTTTAATGACTCATTCCACGGTCTTGTGCGCAACAGGGTCTGACTATTGATATTGGTCTATGTGGAGCTATTCGTGATTCGGTAGTCTGGTAGATTTTTGAGAGAAATCTTTCGCTCGCTCCGGTGGAAACTGCTCAAGAAGGTACCGAATCTCGACAGCTTCGCAATTTCTTGGTTTTGCTTCCATGGCTTCTTTATCTGTCTACACTGCGTGTATAGGTCCATCGTGCGGTCGCCTCTTCGGCACTAGAGAAAAATAGGTAGCTCACAAGAAAGTTATTTGAGAGAAAATAAATGAGTCGGAATATGGAAATTCATGCCAGTAGGATTCGGTGTGATTTATGAGAATCCTGTCCATTCGACTCCGTCCATTCGTTTGTCCGATCGTTTATCCGTTTGCCGCTGCCGCCGTCGACGTTCTTCGATGAGCCGTCTGTGTTGTTCACGAGTGCGGTCAGCGAGCGACAACACTGTCGATCAGTTTCGGATCCCGCGTCCCAGGCGACGAATGTCCAGGGCCTGGCCGGAAATGTCGTTGACCGTCTACGTCTTCTTGATAAGCACTAATCAAAATGGCTTGGGATCCTTGCCAGACTGCTAACCGGTCAGTCGGCAAACTGTCGACTTCCGTGCGGCCTTACTCTGAGCCGAAAGATAAATCCAGGGTGGACACACAAATAGACAAAACGCTCTACTCGTGTTTGACAACGGCATGCCCCGACTGACTGACGGACGTTTGAAGAGTCCACCGACCAACCAGCGCACGGGCGGACGGGAGGACCGAACGACTGGCGGTCAGTCAGACAGATAGACAGTGATGGCGACAGCGACAGCAATGTCGATCCGGAATTCGCGGAGCAACAAGAGATGACCAACTCGCTCATCAAGGAGCATTTCCCAGATGACAATGCCCACAGTGAGTGGTCAACAACAACTGGCCGCTTAACGACATGTTCGATTATTGCTGGTTAGTGTTGTCAGATCATTGGAATCGGTAGACGGACGCCGTGAGATGGATGCAGGTACATAGCAATGATTTCATGAGGAGCTCCTGATAGACGGAACGCGACTGATGGAGCAGCTCCGGCAGCCTGAATTCGCGTCTAGATATCATGGGAAAATCCACCACTCACAACAGCGGATTGTCTTTTAGGGAATCGAGTCATGTAGTATTAGAACGGATATCGGACATTTCGATCGGTGCAATACGGCCGAGCCAAACAAAGCAGAGCAGGCTGAGAATCTACCTCTATCATGCTTCCAGTGAGGCGCATCGGCTCCGTTAAAGACTGTATCGACAGGCTGTGTCCGAAAATCGGTTTTACAACGCGATTACGTCAGCGCGAGATTACCAAATTCCATGCAGACTTGTAATGTTCAGATCGAAATTCTCCTGGTATTCGAGATAGAATGATTCTGATGAGTTCAGAGTGCATCTGGTCAGTATTTCTGAGCGAAACGTTATCAGCACGGGAGCTCACTAATGAATGGCTCCAGGCCCGGCGACTGTATAGCGTCTCCAATCGTAATGTACGGCCAGGTGTCGGGTGATTCATTTTCGAGTTTGTCTCCTGTGAGTCGGCTCGCGTCGGACTCAAATGATTAAGGAGTGCGCTCTCTGAGTCGGAATTCGAGCTACGGGAACATACGTGCTGAGCTCTGGAGGAGATGACGGGGCTCCGCAGAGAAGGCTCCGCCGCTGCACGGATAAACTCATTGCCCACTTCTCGATACTCTGCTTAGGGATCTCTGTGTCGGTGGCCGTTGCTCCTCCTCCTTCTCCACTACAGACGGGCTCCTCGTTGCTTCTATCATCATGATCTTGACGAGAGAAGAAGGGTTGTGCTCGCAAATTGCATCTACATATATTAAATAAGAGGAGGCCACCATCATAAGAACTCGTTACCCGGATCAGAAAGCAGCACCTAAGAGAAGTTCAGCCACCGAGCTAACCCGCGCTTGGCTGACTGACTGGCTGAGTGGGTGCATGCATGCGGACGTCTTGTCCTAACTCGTAGCCTGAGTACGATAGACCCCGGTGAATTAACCAAGCGGCAGAGCGACTCGCTGGCCCGTCCGTAGAGACGGCAGCGGCGGCCGAGCTTGGAGTCAGGCGATTGGTCATCCAAGCAAACGCAGTCGTACCACATCGGGTCGCTTGCCAGTCTGAGTAGTCCTGAGAAACTGGTGTTTTGGTTGCTTGATACGCGAAATGATCAGGAAGTAATTAGGCGAACTCGCAAGTGTGATGACGCGAATGAATGTAGGAGAATGAGCTAGACAAGTTAGTCGTCGTGTTGCCATCAGTCTTTGTCTCCAAGACGTCTGGCGACAATCACTTGGCACACGCCGCGAGCGGTGGAAGTGTTGGAATCCTGAAATTGCCGTGGCCGCGACCGCCATCGACTTAAAGGATGATCTAGCGAGGGACCGGCTGACTGTCTGCACGACCTCCCGACCTCACCGAGGAACTTAACGGCGACTCGACCGATGTCTAATCGATGATGTTTGAACTCATCAAGCTGATCTTCGATTCTCGCATTGGAGAATCGCAAGCCACTCTCATCCTCTCAAACCTCCCGTCGGCTCACCTCCCACCCGAATCGCGGACATTGGAAAACGCGCTCGTGCCGGATACGAGTCGACAGAAGTGCAAAATAACGGAGAACGCGCCCAACGGAATGTCACGAACTGAACGCCGACGCAAACAAGATATAATCTGTCCCGCGCGCAAGCAACTCCGACATTTTGAACTTCCGCTTGCTCGCCTCCTTGCGGTGTGACTCGCTCGGTCGCTAGCACCGTCCATCAAGTCGAATGTGGTTGCGTAGTAGTTTACCAACAGGGCCCACGGAATGAAGAGACGTCGACCGCTCCTCCGGATTAAAGCTTGCCTTCGGTTGCAGCTTCTGCAGCAGCTGTATTTCCATTTCGCCCGTCGATTATTATCTATCCCGTCGTTATCGCTACTTCTCCGACGAGAACATCTAGGGCTACTACTGTTGTCGACGTGATGATCTTACCTCCCGGGTCATCATCTCATCAAGGCCATTCACGTCGGCGTCATCCTCATGAGCGCCGCCGCGGCAGACACTGACCGCCGTGACAAAGTTTACACACAAATGCTATTCTTTCATCGTCAATCGTGTCGATCTGTCTGTCTGCGCTGCGACGGTCAGACGTTTTTCAATCGGTCGCTCGGTCGGTGCTATCTGGTTCGCTGTTCGGGTTTCGATCTATTTTGGGAAAACACTCGAGAAATGAATCTTGTGGGTTCGTTAGCTCGTCTACCCGCTCATTCGATCCGTGGTGGACGGAGCAACGTTTTTTTTAACTTGTGACGTAATTCTTTTCACGGTTCTCTAAAGTGGCCGCTCTTAATCGACGGGGGGCATCGGTAATGTGCTTGCAGTATGCCAATATACGCCTCGTCCGGCCAATGACGGACGATGCTCGTCCCGACGAGGCCCTCGTGAACTGAATGAACACTGATCGATACGGCCCAAGTAACCCTTCGATCGCATCGGGCTGAGCCACTAGATGTTCCGCGGGGATTATTCCACAACCTCAATCA